AGTTAAAGCTTTCGGCGGTAGAAATGCACCTTCCTGCCAAAAGCAGAGGAGAAGCCTGGCATAACTGAGTGCAGGGCTGTCAAAAGGCTACAGAGCCAGCAGCTCCGCAGCAGCTTGGAGATGCGTTGGGTGGAACTGAAGAGAAATGCCGGGAAAGCAAGCTGGGAACTTAAGCTCCTCTGCTGTTCCCTGGTATCTTTCCCAGGTGGTGACCGTGGCCGTTTACAGCTTCTTCCTGGCCTGTCTGATCGGGCGGCAGTTCCTGGATCCAGAAAAAGCATATCCTGGCCATGAACTAGATCTCTTCGTGCCTGTCTTCACATTTTTGCAGTTCTTCTTCTATGCTGGCTGGTTAAAGGTAAGTCGAAGAAAACATGTCTGGAGCCAGAATCTGACCTGAGATCAGTTTCTGAGGCTCTCACCCTGAAGGTCAGCTCCATCTTTCCTAAGCTTTGGTCCTGACTAGTTGTGGGAAGAAGAGAGGCAGTGGGCTACACTTTACCCCTTTTTGGGAGGACCAGCATTGCTCTGAATTCAAGGGGCATCACGCTTGGCTCTGCCCCACAGACCTTCTCCCTGCAGGGAAGGAGCAGGCATGACGGTGATGACCCTTGCTGTGTGCTCTCCACGTGCAGGTGGCCGAGCAGCTCATCAACCCTTTTGGGGAGGACGATGACGACTTTGAAACCAACTGGCTCATCGACAGGAACCTGCAGGTAAAGCGAAGGCAGGGTTCTCCGGATGAGCCCGACCTGCAGAGGAACACTGAGGCAGGACTGCACCCGAGGGTTTAGCAAGCCCCAGCAGCATTTTCTCCTGCAAAACCTCTGCCACCCACCTCCCGTGGGGGGGAGAAGCAGTCCCTGTTACCCTTGCACTTTCCTGAGTTGCATGTTAAGAGGCCCAGGATCTCCAGAGGGAGATGGAGAGGAGAGCAGGAGGAGGGCATAAGGCTCCCCAATAAGAGGGCGAAGGCAGCCAGGTCAGTGTTCCCTGTCAGCAGCCAAGAAGACATCCCAGGCTCCAGGAATAACGTGAAGCAAGGCCCGTGCCAGGAAGATCTCCCCCCGCCAGGGAACACAGGGCTGTGTTTGTACACAGAGACCAGCCGCAGCTCCACCTCACCCCCTTAGCCCAGGCTCTGGCATACACGATGGATCCAGACTCTGTTTCACGCCTTCGCTGCATTTCAGTGATGCATCATTCCTCTTCTCCCGAGCTTTTTCCACCCCATGTCTGTATCTAAAACAGCCTCCTCTGCTTTCCTCCGTGCAGTAACTCCCCACCTTCAGCCCTTCCTAACACTGAGCCCGTCTGTCCTAGTGAGCACGTTGCTTTTCTGGCTCCTTCAGCATCACTTTCCTTCCAATTCATCACATCTCTGCGTGAGAAAAAAAACCCAAGAGAGAGGAAACCACAGAGCAAACCCAGCCACGTGCCTGGCTCCCACATCGCTTCCCCTGCCCTGCGTTCCTTTTTCCACCAGTGACAGGCACACACAACGCCACTCACCCCATATGACATCTCTGCTGTCCCCGGTAGGTGTCCCTCATGGCAGTGGATGAAATGCACCAGGATCTGCCCATTCTGGAGAAGGACCTGTACTGGAACGAACCGGATCCCCAGCCACCGTACACCGCAGCCACTGCTGAGTACAAGCGCCCATCGTTCCTCGGCTCAACTTTTGATATCAGGTGAGTGCAGACGCAGGGTGTCAGAACAGTCCATGTTTACACCTCAGATCAGGTCTTGTGCAGGATATTACACTCGAGAAGCAAGAGCAAGTAGTAATCTTTCTCCATCGTCTATGAAATCTTGCTCTAAGATACTTCTAGGCTCATACAAAGACAATAGCCAACACTCCATGCAAAAGGATGCCTCTGAGCTCTCGCTCCCCTCCTCTCTCCTATGAGCATCCCTGTTGTGGGAGGTCTAACGCGTATCTAATGGCAATAGAGGACGAAAGAGGCTTGCCCTGGGCCGCAGCATCCCCCGTGCTGCCAGCCTGTCCAGCAGAAAGCACCTCCTTTCCCGGCCGTGTAACAGCCCATTTTGCCTTTCTCTAGCATGCAGAAAGAAGAGATGGAGTTCCAGCCCCTGGAGCAAATAAAAGAGAATGAGGAGGCCAACCACTCCACACCGTTACTGGGACACCTGGGCCGCCTCCTCGGTGTCCAGTCACCAAGCTTCTCTAGGTCCTCTTCCCGGATGAACCTCCTGCGCAGGCGAGGAGACCCCACGTCCCCCTTCTCCCATTATACGTACCAAGACGTGGGCAAGCCGGGGAGCCCTTGCAGCATCAATCAGCCACGGGGAGACTCCAGCTCACAGGAGCCGTGGGACAGCGAAGATGGAAAACTACGGGAGTTTGATGCCTTCATGTCAACCCCATTTTATGAGAGACCTGGTTTCTACAGCGCTCCACAGACACCCATCAGCTCCATCCCCATGATCTTCCCTTCTAGACGCCAGGGCCGCAAGAAGCCTCCTGCGCTCTCCAGCATCGCTGCATGCTCGTCTTCTCTGAGGGATGTCATTGCCAACTCCTCACCTTCCAGGGTCAGTGATACGTGTAAGAGCCAGAGCTCCTTCGGCTCAGGTGCAAAGGAAACATTTATTTGGCCAACAGATCACAGCAAAGGTCCTGACTCCCTGGTTGTAACAGCGGAAGAGGAGAAGAGCAACTCGAACAGTAAAAGCAGAGAAGGTGCCACCTCAGGAAGCCCAGCAGTTCAGTCCGCAGCATCAGACAGCCCTAAATTCCCCTTCCTGGCAGAGTCCCCAGACTGGGAGAAGCAGGGTAGCTTCAAGAATCTGAAGAGCTTGAAAGGCTCCCACCCACCCTGGCTGGAGAACGCAGCACCAGCCACTCCCAATTCTGAGCAATCAAGCACCTTCCACACTCCCAGTAACAAAACCCCCGGGGGCAGCGCCTCCCTCTGCTTCTCGTTCACTCCTGTAACGTCTCCAGCACTGGAGAGATCCCACGCAGGGAACATGGGCCCTGATGCTCACAGCCTCAGTTTAGAAGACACAGCCAGCGCTCCAGAGCAGCGTTCAGCAGAGGTTTCCAGGACCACGAGAGATCCTGGAAATGGAAGTGCCAACACTCCTCCTACAAAAGAGCCAAGAAGAACAGAGAGTCCATCCCCCAACGACTCTGGCATCTCTCTAGCCGAAGGTGACTACGTGGGGCTGATGGAGGTGATCATGGAGACCAGCGAAAACACATGTGAGGAGCAGACAGATCAGTACAGCTAGGGGAGATGGAGAGGCACGCACCGTTCTGTCGAGATACTGCAACATCACAAATCCAGCAGGTCTCTTCACAGCTGGCCACGCTGGCACTCCCCTGAACGGACGGGCAGAGCAGCCGAACCACCTACGCTGGAACATGCAGCTACAGCCCAGCCCAAAGCCAGCACTGCCGACCCACTGCCACTGGCCTCAGGCACAACTTCAATGTTGCAACAATAACAAAATAAACAAAAAAAAAAAAAAAAAAACCTCTGCATTTGTAGCAAAAGAACAAGTAAGACTTTGAGTGTGAAGTCTTGGAGATAGCTAACAGCAGGTAACCAGCCTGATGAACCCAGAACACAGGTGTAGCCTAAAACTGAAAAAAATATAGTTCCTAAGGATTCCTCCTCATCACAGCAGGAAAAAAAAGAACTTGATCTCTATGTTAACATCTGTCACAAGACCCATTACAAGTCTCAGGCAGGGCTTGCACTACTGACGAGATACTCCAGGGAAAGTAAGGGACTGAAGCAAGTGATGTAATTTGTGATGCAGATGTATAGTGCTGCCCAAAGTCATGGCTGGTGCTTGCCAGTACTGGAAAAGTAATGGGACAAGGCAGGGCAAGTGTCCGTTAGAACAGGCGGCTGCAGCCAACACCATTCACCCAGCACATTGCTTCCTTTTGAAGTTCTACATCACATCTGCCACCGATTTGACAGTGTTCAGAGAAATCATCTGGCTGGCAACAGACCCCATACAGCCATGAGTTTTTATTGTCCTCCCTAAGAAAATAAAAGCAAGGCTGAAGTCCAGGACCATCCGTTTTGTTTCCTCATTTTAGTTTCCACGCAAAAATAGCAATTTAGAGAAACCACAGGAGATTTTAAGGAAGAATCTTCAGCAACAGCTGCAGATCTCCCAAATCACAAGGGGCACGTGACAAATTCACCTCCCACATCACAGGGGGCACATGACAAACTCCCTCTACCTCCCACATCCCTTCCCATGCCTTCACAACAGCTGCCCACCCTCTTAAAAGTACAGCTGTTAGACCGAGGCAGATGTCACCAGCAACCCCACAACTCCCAGTAACAGCATCCTCAAGGCAGTTCCTGCAGCACTGCTGTCTCAGTCCAGCCCAATCACAGCACACAGCTCTAAAGTCTTCTTCACAGCGTGTTTTCTCCCTACAGAAGCATAGTGCCATTTGTTACGCCTAGTGAGGTGCTAACCCACCCTTTCAGCCTCATCTGCATTCCCAGGGACAAATTCAGCAAGCCCAGACACTCACTTCCTTTCCTTGAGCATTTATTACAGCAACAGCTTTGGTGACAAAGGCATTTAAAACACAACTTTAGTCACTGAGCAATTCCTGCAGTGGATCCCACTGGATTGGAAAAGATAATTTTTAGAAAAGCACTAAGCAAGTAAAACCTGATCCCTCTAGTATATTCTTTCATCCATGCCCAACTTAAGATGACTGTCACAGAGACTATGTAGCACAATCCTGCAAGGACAGCCTCTCGCTCCCGCGAGAAACAGAAAAAGCCAATTTGAACCAAGTCACTTTATTGGATGGAGGGCAATACACAAAACACAAGAGAAAAGAGGGGTGATATTTGGTACAGAGTATGAGAACTGTTTCTCTAGATAGCTGAAGATGCATGCACGGCTGGACAGTAAAGTAGGAGTCCCACTGAAACCCACAGGGTGGCTCTTGGCAAGACTTCAGCTGTCATTGTCACTGTCCCCTAGGGTGTGCTTGTCAAAGAGGTACTCTGCCATGCCGTATTTTGGTGCCCCCATCTTCCGCAGGTTGGTCACATGGTCACCCAGCTCTTTGATGGATTTCACCTGCTCATCCAGGTAGTGAGTCTCAATGAAGTCACACAACTGAAAGGGAGACAAGAGAGTTTAAACATTGGCCTAGCCTGTGAAATCCTACCAACCCTCTCTAGAGAATGGAGAAGAGACAAAACAACAATTTTAAAGCTGCAGAAGATAGAGAGGAAGAAGCCTTTAGTTTCGCATCAGCAATGCCAGAACAAGCCCAGAGTGAGGCAGAGTATCCAGGCACACTTGCTCCAGAACCCTGTGCTGGAATGTCAGCTCAGGAAATCTCCCTTCTTCCTCACTACAGGAAGCAATAGGAAAGTTTCTGAACTTTAAAGCCCCCACTGCATAGCACTTGACTTCATGACCATGACAATGGTCCAGCTGCAGTGTTTCTTTTAAAAGAAGTCCCTCTAACTTACGCAGGACACTTCCAAGAGTACTTTGATTCAGACACCCACTAATCTGATTCTAAGAAGCCTCAATCCAGCTTTGCCAATAACTTGATCTGTGAAGAAACCTGTTTCCAGATAGTGTTCTCAAGTGTCAGGGCTTTTAACATTCAGAAGAAGCAACCGTCAAAATTTTGACAGCCTTATAGGCATCCATTGGTTTAAAGAACTCATCCCCCACAGAAACAAGCCTTCTCCATTGACCTTAATACATTTTAGCTCTTCAAGATGCTGTTCACAAGTGCCCTCTGCTCCCAAGAGCAACAGAAGGGTTTGAACAAAGTGATTCACCCGCTGTCCTGTAAATTGGGCCCCAGCCACCCTAACACACTGCAACTGGTCCTCCTGGAAAAAGACAGCAATAACCTCAGCAAACAGCAAAGGTACAGGCTGATACCTGTGCTCTTCCCTTTTCTGGAAAGGCTGCACCACTAGCTCACACCCTTTTTTCAATCTTTAGGAATGGGAAGGACACGCAACTCATTCACAAACCCACAATTAGACACCTCAAGCCCTCTCCTTGCAAAGCCACATCCCCAGCTTCAGCATCCACTTACGTGTGGGTCATTCTTTTCAGTTGCCAATTTGTGCAGTTCTAAGAGTGACTGGTTCACGTTCTTCTCCAGGTGCAGGGCACACTCCATTGCAGTCAAGCCATTCTCCCAGTCGTCGCGGTCTGGTTTCTAGAAGGGGAAAGCAAATGACCATGTTTTCTCTAAGTATCCACAGAACATTAGGGAGCAGTCTTTTAGATCAGTCTCTAAGCCTGCTTATGCCAAGTTTAGGTATCTTCAAAAATTTGGCACACAGCCAGTGCACGCTCTGAACAGAACTGAATGTCCCAGGCCTGTCCCCACTGCATAGGTTCTCCTCATGTTCTGTTCTCTGAGCTCTTGCAGGCAAGACAGCTAACAGAGCTGCTTTCTGCCTCCTCCCATCATCATCACCTCATGGCTTAAACATCTGCCTGAGTAAGCGGGCAATGGGCACACTCTCAGAAATGAAGCAGTTAAGATGCTGGTAGAGGCAAGCCCAGTCCTCAGCTTAGGACTGGCTAAAACAAGAGCCTGGTGTTTACAAACACTCGGACTCAGTAAGCAGGGGAATTCTTCTCAAGTGCCCATCACTTCCTCTTTTTGCTCTTTTCCCCATGAAGAGCTGTCTTGCATTAAGCTAGCCCTACATTGCTTACTTGTTGCTGTTACAAATAATCTAATTAAACTGACTCCAAGAAAATGGTGCTATGAAACTTTGCAGTGAGCCATAACAAACAAATGGAAATTGGGATTTCCTGTTCCCATGGCAAGCAAGTCAGAGTTCTCTACAAAACAGTGTAAAGAACACTCCTGCTATTAAATTTAAGGTAGATGAACCAGTTGTATTCTAGTTACTCTCGCCCCACAGCAAGCCACCTAGGGCCAGGCACCCTCATCTTACACAGGAAGTACTTCTTATTAGTCAATCAGCACAAATTATCAATTTGATACTATGCATCTCTAGATTTTGGGCTCAGTGCAGATCACAGCAATATGGCATGCTGTCAGCTGCTGACCCTTCCAGGAGAGGACCCACACGGAAATTCCTCCCCTTCCAGCCTGGAGACAGATGACAAGTCTAGTTCTGCACTAGACAGGACAAACCACAGCTCTACTCCTCACCTTGATGTCCTGCAAGAAGATGCGTCCACCTCTCTGATTTTGGAGTTTCATCAGTTTCTCAGCGTGTTCACGCTCCTCGTGGGACTGGTGCCGGAAGTATTTGGCAAAGTTTTTCAGAGCCACATCGTCCCGGTCAAAATAGTAGGACTGAAAAATAAGAATTCATATTCTCAAAATCCCAAGCCTCACTCCAGCAGCTGCACAAAGCCAAGCCCGTATTTTAACTTCAGACATGTCTCCTATCGGCCCTACTTCAGGATGGCAGGAGTCCAAGCTAAGGCTAACACTAGCACTGACAACAGCAAGGCAGTGGGGCAAAGTCCTTCCCCAAGCAGCAAGTCAGATTTTCCTGACTAGGGTTACACATTAACCTGTATCCCTACCATGAACACCAGGGACACCAATAAATCCCATGTGTGATTCAGTCCCCTGGCCTGTTTGTTTGCCCGAGTTTGTTTACAACTATCACAAGCCAAGGTTCTGACCTGCAATACCCATTAAGTGTGGCCAAGAACTTCAGGTACTTCTGCAATAAAGCTCCGGCGCTTCGCTGGGCTTATCAGGGATCAGACTAGAAGTACACTTTCTACTTTTGGGGGAAAAGTTAACACCACATTTAAGAGACAAAGATAAACTGAACTAAGATACATACTCAACAGCAAATACAATATCGTCTTTTTTGAGAGCCAAAAAAACCTGTAGCAGCAGTTAGAAGCCATCACACAGCTTGTTTGTTTTTTTGGTCAGAGCTTTAGCCAGGATTCAATGGCAAGCTTTGTATCAACTGCCAGTTATTTACCGGACAAACTACTACAGAATACTCTGCTCTTAAACCAACAGCTTGGAGGCTCAAGGCAAGACACTGGTGCTTGTGTACAACTATCATCCACCAACGGAACTACATTTGGCTTGTAGCTGAGGTTCAGACCTTCACAGTAACAAGCTGTGAAGTTCTACATGCCACCGCATGCTACACTAGAAAGCCTCAAGTTACCTGAATGTCTAAATCACCGAGATTGCTGCACAGAGGTCAGAGCTGCTGCTTGGACCCGAGTTACTCAGCTATGGATAAAATTGGAGTCTCACACCCAGCCAGACAAGTAAGCACAGGACTAAGGAAAACCACAGGTTTCTACCAATTCCTTTCAAAACCTACAAGCCAAAAACCTTGCCTCGGAGACAAGGAGGCCTGTGGGAAAGCTGCCAATGGCTTCGTTAGTCAGCTCCTGCCATCCAGCCCAGCCCCAAGGGCAGAGTCGGTTGGAAGCTGCTGATAACGACTCCGCCAAGGGGAACAACACAGAGCGGTTAACGTGCAGCTCCGGTTCCCCCCGAGATAAAGGCCTCGCCTCCCGAAACAACCGGCCGCCCCACCCCCGGGGAAGGCCGAGAACACCCCGGAGCGGGGGGGTG